GCTAACAGGTTCTTTGGTAATTGTTGGAGAGCAAGTGGATCATTACAGACCCAACCTCTCATTTGAAGGCATGCGCGGGCATGGATATCAACTATTTGCAAACACAAATGCGCAGCTTCTTCAGTTGAACTCACAGAACAAATAAAATCATCCATGTAGACATCTGTAATGATCCGGTGTACTGCTTCAGGAAACTGATCTTTAAATTCAAGAGCATTTTTATTTTTCATATAAATGGCTGTGAAGGGGCTAGACACAGCACCAAATATCATAGACGACATTCTATAATAACTCAAAGGTTCGTTAGGGCTGTCTCTCCATATAAAACGTTGCGCATCCCTATCACGTTCTATAATTTTAAACTGAGGAAACATTTCCTTTATGTCCGCCGTCATAGCTATTTTCCCTTCTCTGAAGCGAATAAGGATATCAAATAGAGATTGAAGTTGATCGGGCCCAGTCAGAAGGAGACTATTTAAACTAATACCATTTGTTTGAGCAGCAGCGTCGTGTACCACTCGCAACTTATTTGGCTTGTTGGGATTTACCACGCCAAAATGTGGTAAGTACCAACAGACCGAGCTAGAGGATGACGGATCATGGGGGCATGGTTCCGCATATCCTTTAGCTAGCATATCACATATATTTTGTTTATACCGTTCTGCAAAAGCTGGATCTTTTGCCATTTTCTTTTCTAAGTTTCGGAACCGTGAAAATGCTAAATTAAAACTGTCGGGAAAGGTCGACTCGTCCTGACGCCATAGCAGCCCGACTTCAAATCTACCGTCTGGCAACCGGTTAGAAGTGCGTTCTAGAATAGTAATAGCTCTTTCGTCATCTGCACTACGTGGTTCACACTTTGAAATACCGATATTATCAAGTTTGTAGTGATTTCTAATGCAATCTTCTAAGCTTTCGTTGTCAGAAACTAAAGAATAATTAATGAAATCCACTAGCTTTGTACGACTACCATTCCAACCAAATAGTACCCACCCTAGACTTGTTTCAATAGCTACAGGATCAAATTTAGAACCTTTTCGAAGAGTTTTGGGGAACATAAGGTCCCAATTGTCAATACCTATGATAATTTTTGGTTGTACGTTGTCGTAACATAATTCAGAAGCTAAGTCAGCCAGATGTGGAAAATTAGAAATGCTATTAAGAAAGACAGACTGCTGTGCTAAAGCTAAATCTTTTATAGCACGAGCATTATTGATAGCGAAGGTTTCATTACAGTGTTTACCTTTCACATTAAAATTTACATATTGCACGTCAGTATCTTTGGACAAACCACCCATACAGCTTACGTGAATTTTAGAGACGAGTCCCTCAACTCCGATTGCGGTAGCAAGAGACGCGTCTATAAAGGTAGCTGTCGACCCATCATCAAGCAAAGCATGCGTGTTCACACTTCCAGATGGCCCTGATACTGTCACAGGTATAATTTTTAATAAGGGACGTGTATTATTGCTGGAAGTGTGAGCAACGACATCCGATGAATGCTGAATTGAGTTGCTATTAGCTTGAGTAGAAACGCTAGAGGTCCCGGTTTCGATTTCATTATTATTTTCTACGATGTGTGTTATCACCGTATTGATACAATGTAAAAGTTTGTGATGTCTCCTACTACAGCTTTTTTCATTACAAACCTCTTTTATAAATTTACATCTTTTATAACTATGAGAACCTTTTTTAAGGCATTTGTGACATAGCTTATTATCTTTGATGAATTGCCACCTTTCACTCACTGTCATAGTTAAGAAATTGTCACATTTTGACAAATTATGATTTTGTTTACAAATTATACACGGCGTAATTTCAGAATGTATTTTAGAATTTGACGAAAATGTGTGGCTTTGTGTAGAAATATCGACTATAGAATTTTGATGACTTGCCGAAGAAGACGTGACTGCATGAACCTTTTCAAACCTTTTATAAAATATCGAGGGATCAACTATTAAACCAAACTTGAGTTGCATTTTGACTTCACGAGTTAAAAATTCTGTTAACAACTCAAGTTTAGTCTTTCCCTGAGGTAAGAAATGTATCCCACAGTAATCAAGCCATTTACTTCGCAACAAAGGTGTAAGTTTACCTAAAACGGCTTGAAAAAGTTCCGGCGATTCTAAATAACACCTTTGTTGAAGTAATTTTATAGTCTCAACACAGTTACGAACTCTACAAGTAAATCTATTAAGGTCGTTACTATCTGTATTTAATTTTGATAGAGAACGAACCGACGCAATTTCATTAAGAATTATTATTTCAGGTCTACCAAAACGTAATTCTAGAGCCTCCATTACCTCGGCAGGATCATGAGCTGAAACTAGCAGAACCGTCACTGCTTCCCGCGCTGCACCTCTTAGACATGATCCAATTCGCATCAAGTTTTCAGACGCTGAATACGCGCTTCTTGTAACCTCGAACACTCTTTTGAAAGCCAGCCAGTCCAGAGGCTTACCATCGAAAAGAGGCAGTCGTAGGTCACTGTACTTATGATTCGGATTTCCGTTACGAAGCGAAGTGATTGCCTGTGCTAATAAAGCTATATCAGAACGTTGTGGTTGTTTTAATTCAGTAGGATTTATACTATTAGAAGTGAGAATATTCGCTGTGGTAAGAGGAGGGTTTGGCTCTTGTGAGCTTCTCCTACCACTCTTGTCTACTTTATTAGGAATATTGTCAATTTTATCTAACCATTTTTCGACCGACGATCGGGAGCTCCTGAAGCTTCTACCACTCTCCGATTCTAGAGCTGCCAGTTGTGACTCTAGTTCCAAATTAGCTGCTTCTTGTTCGGCATTGGCTGTGACCCTGGCTGCTTCCACTTGAGCAATTTTTCTAATATGTTCAGCCTGCAGAGCTAACCTTTGTGCACGAACAGTGGCAGACGATCTGGTAGATCTGGAACCTCGAGAAAGAGGACGAGCCTCAGCAGATGTATATGCTACTGGATCACTCATATTTGTACTATTAGGTCTTTTGTCCCGGAGCTTACTTTGTGACCTAGTTTCCACCATCAAAGAATTTTGAAAAAAAATCTGAATTTTGAAATGATTTTTATTTATATATATATAAAAGGGGTTCAAATAGAGGTAGAAGGACCAGAATATTGAGGAGGATGATGGAAATCAGGTATTTTAAAACGAGATAATGGAAGATTTATTTTTTATCTTTTATGTTACAAATTTTAGTACAAAGAGTAAAGTATCAAACAAAAACCAAAATGACATTCTTTATAAACTTAAAATAAAACAATCAAAGATATAATGAGGTGCTATCTTGCACACGTGCATTAATAAGCTAATGAATAAAACAAAAAATATCAAATTAAACATTTATCATTAAAAAAACTTTAAAATCACGTAACCTTTCCGTGAATTCAACAAAATGTTATTAAATCGAAATAAAAAATCAACAAAAATATATCTTCTTTTTAACTATTTTTATCTTCTTTTTAACTTAATTATTTTACTTCTTATATAAAATTAGACATATTTGGCTTTATGAAAAAATCACAATTGGCTCTTTATGACTATTTGAGCGAGATCATTCGTTATCTAAAATAGTACAATTTTGACACATCAAATTCGCATGTTCCTTACATATGGCGGCGTTACATTTGAAACATCCGTTCAGAGTCTTCCTATCTTTGTGTCTTGGACAGAAAGAACATCGCTGAAACCTTCTTGGTTGCTTTTGTGGTGGTCCTGGAACTTCTTCATTCAACATTTCATGCACGCGTCTTCTTATATCTCGTGGTATATGTGGATTGTCTTTTCTTTTCCTAATGTGGTCTTCGAGCAAAGAAAGTCCCAATTGTTTGATGAAGTTCTTCCTTAGATTAGTTTTATTCCCTTCGATGCTGTTTTTTAACATACGCACAATAAAACCATTTATGCCAGCATGGTTCAACATTGAAAAAAATACGGTAAGAGGCCAGCGTTAACAGTTGCGAATACATCGTACGTTCTCGCAAGTTTATCGACAACATCAACTCCGCTCTTTGTCGAGTTGTAAAACGTTATAATAGATGGCTTTCTTTGGTCTCCGCTATCTGGATCCACCTCATCATCATGATGTAATGAGGACATCATGTGTACACATTTTCGCGGCTTTGGTATGTAAGATACAATAGTTATGTCTTTTTGAAATCCAAACGGATGATTTGTCTTCACTTTGAGCCTTGAACTGGAGTGGAAGGCATGTCTTGTTTGACCTTAGTGTACCAACGGCGGTCAATTTGTGGTTTTTGAGCAAATTTTCAGCAGTTTCATAACTCATAAAAAAGTTATCCATAGTGATGTTTCTTCCAGATCCGGACACGCATCTTACCAAACGATCAACAACATCAAAAGGTTTATTACTCATTGTATACGGAATGTTGTCAGGCTGTTTTCCACAGTATATTTCTAAATTCATTGTGTAAAATGTTTTAGCATCCACTAGAGCGTAAATTTTCAACCCATACTTGGCTGGTTTTGATGGTATGTACTGACGAAAGGCACATCTTCCTCTAAATGCCACAAGTTCTTCATCTATGGTCAAGTATTCATACGGTGTATACGCATTCTGACAGTTTTTGACAAATATATCAAAAACATCTCGAATTGGCGCCAAACGATCGACTTATTGCTGTACGAGTTGATGAATCATCAAATCTCAAGTTATTTATCAAAAATGAAAATCTTTGTCTCGTCATAGCATTTCTAAATACTTCAATTCCTGTGCCGTCATTACTCCATAGATCTTTAAGACTTTGCCGGCCAGATCTAAACAAATCTGCCAAAAACAACAACCCAAACACGGCTTTCATCTCAGCTTTGTTAGTTTCCCCGTATGATGGATTCGATGTATAGTTTTCCATTCGCAAAGAAATCTTCTGGTTTGTATATTTCAAAACCATGTCAACAATTTCATCAGTGAAAATTGATATGATAGCATTCTAAGTGGGTTTTTTTTATGTCGGGCTGCATCTTTACACCCAGGCAAATGCGTAATTAGATTTTCGGCCCTTGTCCGAACATTGTTCGCGGTGGCAATTTATACCACTTTGTTCTTCCATCTTTTCCGAGATAAAATGGTTGAGGTGTTGATGCCGTGTCGTCTGAATATGGTTCGATGTTGATTTCGGCTTCTTCCACGTCCGTATCACTTGGAACTTCAGAAGCCACGCTGATGTGATCTGATTCGTCGTCACTATATGGCACAAAGTTTTCGTCGTCCGACGAAGTTTCATTTTCTTCCAATAAGGCTGCCGCAATACGATCATCCTGCAGATTATTATTCATATTGACTATCTGTACCTACAATAAAAATAAAAAAGTATAAATAAAACACCAATTGTAGCAGTTAATTACCAAAAAATCACAGAATTAGGTACAAACTTTTTTGACAACGTCCCATTCAACGTGGGGTAAAAAACGCCCGGGAACCACTTTGCGCACGTGCTCACACGACGCTGGCGCGCGCAGTACTGATTCAACGCTGTGATTCGAGGCGGTAATATTTAAATTCAGCTACTGTGAAAATTAAGTTATTTGGTTGCATTTTAATATAAAATCAACGCAATTTAAAAGTGTTGGGGTTAAAATAACCCCACCTTGTATGCCGAAGGTTAATAATTGTGCGTATGAGTCAGTTATCAGTTGAAATTTTGCAAGTTATTTGAATATCAGAGTCTGGCATAGTAATTAATTTAAATTGATCACTTTTTTGTTTAATGAGACTGTAATTTTTTATCTTTTTTTTGTGCCTCGGCCAGATCTTCATAATTTAATAGAGAAGGTATTGGTATTGCCTCTATCCTAGATAAAGCTTCAGTTACTATATTTTTATCACCTTCTATATATTGAATTTTATCACAAAATTGTGAAATAAAATCTAATTGTCTCAATCGTCTAGGTGAATCTGATGATGAGTCTTTTTTTGTTAGTGCGTATGTTAATGGTTTATGATCAGTTAGTACGGTTAGTTCTCTACCTTCTACCATATATCTAAAATGTTTTATTGATAAATAAATAGCTAAAAATTCTCTGTCATATTTGCTATATCTAGTTTGAGTCTCCGTCAATTTTTTTGAATAAAATCCTAAGGGTTCTAATTTATCGTTAATTTTCTGATGCAAAGCTGCGCCTACGCAATTCTCCGAAGCATCTGTCATTAAGATAAGTGGTGCGGAACTATCGGGGTGAGATAACATAACAGTGTTATTTAAACTTTCTTTACATTGATTGAAAGCTTTTATCGCGTTTTCAGACCAAGTAATTTTAGTTTTGTCGCGTTTTTTTTGAATTATGTAAGTAGCATAATTCAAAAAAACGCGAATTATGAGTTTTTTTGAAGCGTTTAATGGTGATTGAATTTCTGCTACCTTTGGTATATTTTTTCTATAAAAATTTATCATACCTAAGAATCGACGTAGCTCTTCAATATTATTAGGTTGAGGATAATTTAAAATAGTTTGTATTTTTTTTAAACTGGGTTTGATGCCTTCTTTATTGATATGATAATCTAGAAATTCTAATTGGAATTTTCCAAATTCGCATTTTGGTAGGTTTATGGTGAGACCGTGGTTGTTTAATCGTTCGAGAACTAGTTCTAGGTGTTTTAAGTGAGATTCCTTACTTTGTGATCCTATTATAATGTCATCTATATAAGCAAATGCGAAATCTAAGCCTTTAAGAGCGTTATTTACGAACCTTTGGAAGTCTTGGGCAGCATTACGCAAACTGAAGTTCATTCTAGTGAATTCAAATAAGCCAAAGGGCGTTAATACAGCCGTTTTTGGAATGTCCTCAAGTCTCATAGGTATGTTAAAGTAAGCTTTTCGGACGTCAAATCAAGGACGAAAGGACGGCGTAACCCTAAATCGAGAACAATGGTCTCTTCGCCGTACGTTTTAATTTTTGTGCCGTTTGCAGCATATAATAATTGGTCCGAAATTATGTTTCGTTTGCGTGCTGCTAAAACAGATACGTCAGCACCGGTGTCGGATCTAGTTTTCTGAGTTGTTTTTAATGAAATTGCAATTAACAATATCACCGCATTTACGTGCATTACTTTTATAAATAAAATGATAATAACATGCATAATTACTATCACCGGGCTTTGCGTTTTGATTGGCATAAGAATTTTTATTTGAGTTTGCACTTTTTGATCGCGAATAGCGGCTTAAAGATTTATTATTTTGATATCGGCGGGCATGACTTCGCGACTCGCGACGGTAACATTGATTGTTAGAGTTTATTTTACTATTTATAGATTCTATTTCTAATTTTAAACTGGCTAATGTATTGAAAATATCGTCGCTGTTTAAACTGGTTGACGGTCGGGTACTAGCAGTTGTGGCCAATTCATTTGGGCGAGAATTTTCTATTCTTTTATCGGCCATATTTGCGAGACTATCTAGTTTTACGTCACCTGAATCACAAGCCGTTAAAACTGCTCTTATCGATTGCAGAAGGCGACCTATCCATAACAATTTTAATGTATCGTCCGGAATACGATTTTTGCCTAATTCGCGCATTCATCGAAGTAATTGTGATGGCCTTTGATCGCCGAGTTCGATTTCATTCAACAATTGATTTAATTGCTGTGTTTCAGACTCTTCATAGACGGATATAAGTCTATTACGAAGTGTTTCGTATTTTTTACATGACGGCATGTTTTCTAATATGTCACTAACGTCCCTTAATTCGTCTCGACGCAGCTTAGCAATTAATAAATGTGATTTGTGCAGGTCACTTGCCTTTTGTGGGTCCACGATAGCGTTGAATTGATGGAACCATAGTCTTGGCTGTTGACGCCAAAACTCTAGTATTCTGGAGGAGATGGTGATCGCCGTCATTTCTTGTGGTTTGTCTGATGCTGCCGCTGGTTGTTGAGGGGATGGATTCGCGGCGCGCCTGCTTGTTGCGCGCTGATCATTTTATATTATTTGTTTTTTTGCGAATAAATTATATTTATGGGCGCGCGATTGCGACACATCGGATGTCACCACTTTACCGATTATTGTATGGGGTCACTACTTTACAGATAGGTTTTGTGTTTTATTTATTAGTATATAGGTTGATATTTAACTTATTGATAAGTTTACTATCTGACTCTATTTATATGAAGGGTCGGTAAAAATGAATGAACGAGTTCACAGTTATGAGTTTACTTTCAGACTATTTGATGTTGAAGTGCCACTTACAAAATACAAAATATCATTGATTACGTTGCCACAAAGTGGTCGATAAAGATTATAAAACAGATGTGCCACAACTCTAATCAGGTATTTTTAGGTGTAAAATTGAGTTTTATATAAAGTTAGTAATATTTAATTTACTAATTTGTGTATTTTTATACGACAAGACACCGGTCACAATTTTGTTATGGTAGTCAATTATTTATGCTGTTGTTTGAGTTGACTACCAATTATTTTCAACGAATTTATCATTATTTTTACACTCATAATTTTTAATTTTCAATAGTAGGTAGGATATTGTACGACATAGTAGATGAATTCATGAATTTTGAAATTAATTAGCCTTATTTATTTGTTATTCTCAATTAATTCAATCAATTCGTAATTATTTTGTGTCAATATTTGTATTAATTATTTGTAAAAATCAATCAATATAATTTGAATACGGTAGGTGTAAAATTATTTCAAATTTGTTTTACTAATCGTAGGTGGTAAATAGGATAAGAAACGATTATACTTATTGTAATAGATAGCCTAATACATAAGCAAACGTTATTACTGTATAAATTTCAGGATGACAATAAATCGTTTGAAACTTTCCACTGTAGTGATCTGCGTAAGTCTAAATTTGCAAGTTTACATCAAGTTACTCTTCTTCGACAAAGATCATAAACCGCTCAATGACCGAGCAGGAAAAATGTGGTGAGGCTTCTTTCCGTATTTCTTGGACTCTTGCTAAGCATATGAAGCCATTTCCTGATGCTGACGTAGTTAAAGAATGATTTCTCGAAACGGGTAATGCTTTATTTGAGAACAAAAAGGATGTTATTGAGACAATAATACAATATCCAGAACTACAAAAATTAGATTCCGTATTCCGTCATCTGCTTCTACTAGCACCAGAAATACACACGTTTTGGTAGAAGAAAGTCATTGTGATATGAAGCGATATCTAAATAAGTCAAATTATTTTGCCTTGGCTATGGATGAATCATGCGATATTCTTGATACGGCATAGTTAATTATTTTTGTACGCTACCTGGACCAAAGGAGTGAAACTTTTGTTGAGGAAATATTGGCTCTTTTGCTGCTATTAAGAAGAACCCAAGGAGAAGATATGATCAATTGATATGATTGATTATTTAGATAAAGATAAGGTAGACTTGAAAAAGCTTTTATCGGTAACTACTGACGGTGCACCAGCAATGGTTGGGACTAAAATTGTTTATATTTATTAATTAATATTAATTAAGTTTATATTTATTTTTTACGTTGGCAATATTTAATGCATAACAATAAATTTATTCAATTCCGACCGCTAACAAACTTCGTAAACGAACTCTTTAAAAAAGAAGCTGTCAAACACAATGTCAATGTCAAAAACTATTCCAAAATTACCGCGCGCAACTGTGGGTTTTTTTCAGTGGTTAACTTTTTAGATAATTCGAGAATTTTGTACGTATTGCTTATAACTTTTCAGCCAAAAACACGATGCCTAGAAAGAAGAAAGTTTCAGAGCCTGACACCCGCAGATATGGATCAAAATCCAATTACACCTTAGCAGTTTTAGAAGAATGCCTAGAAAAGGTTGGAATAGACTACCTTCATCCCTAAATACAACAATAGTCCCAGGCGGGATTGTAGCAAAATTCGAAGTGTTTCTCACTGAAATGGGTTTCACCTTTTCAGTGCATTCTGATATACATGTTGTTTCTTCAGTCTCGTTTATAATATACTCTTCTATTACAATTTCATTTCCTATTTCTAGATCCATTGCCATATTTTCGAATTCTGAAGATTCGCCTATATTCCTGTCAAAATGAATTTTCTCGTTATTTTTGTCTTGACTTTTCATCTTCTTATTTTTTGAGCCTTAAGGACGACCCCTTTTTACTGATTTCTTAGGATCTACTGAACTCTGGGTCGGTAGGCTGCTTTGGATCCTTATTTTTTGCTTTTTCAGCTTTGTTCTTATAGAACTGCTCAACTTCCTCCACTGACATGCTTTTCCCAGCAATAACTGGCATTTGAATTTTTCTTTGGTTTTTGGTTCCTAAATCATTTTCACGCAATTCCGCCAGATAGCACTTGAAACTTTCACCTAAAGATTCCTTGGCAGTTAGTTCATCGACTTTTGCTTTGTCATATTCTGGAAGACGCTGCAACACTTCTTTGCGGTTTAAAGGGTAAATACCAGTTACTCTAAAACCAGCCTTTAGGTTAACCTTAGACTGTGGAGCTCCTAAATTAAGAGTTTTTTTGACAAGTGCCGTTCTTTGGCAAAGCAACAGTTTTTCAGCCTCGTGTGGTCTCTCTCCAATCAAGAAGGCGTTTCTCCAGTTAGCTTTAAGAGAGCTGAAATAGCCTACATCAAGAGGTTGAAGAAGGTGTGTCGAGTTTGGTACTAGCAAACGCGCACGAGCGCGGGGCGCGGGAGAGTCGGGAGTTCGGATAAGCGGTCGTTCGGTTGATCGACGTTCTACTGTAGTTTGTTTTGTATCCCATTCTTAATATCAAAATATTGTACAACCAATGGAAATAGTTTAATATTTTATCTATAACTGGCATCAGTTTGCAAACAAAAATACACATTAGAATCATTTAAGTCACTCAGTAAATTTTGTAAGGCGTAAAGCCCTAAAACCTCATTAACCAATACTTCCATTTTAGTGCGTCCTAATTGTATGTTTAAAGCAGTTTTAGAATCCACATAGATAATTTTGTTTAGTTTTACAGTTAAAGGTTAAAGCAAGTTCACTTGCTGATATCTTATCATCACAAGTATTTGCAAGAGGATCAGTGTTAGAAGAGGAGGTTGATGCACCAAAAAAGCGATCTAAAGTAGAATTTTTCTTGTGCATTTCAGATTTTAGTTTATGGGTTTTTGTTTCACCATGCTGTTTAATCTGCAATAAAAAAAGCACTTACCAAAACACCACAAACAAACCAAGCGAGTTCTTCAAACTTTACTGAATAAATACAAAACAAAACTACACACACACACCAAATATGATAAGAAGAAGAACTAACCTGACCAATGCCACTTTTACTGATAGAGAATGTTAAGTTACATGTTAAACATTTAACATTGTATACGCTTTCGGGATCTTTAACAATCCAGTCATATTGTTACTCCCAGTCGGGTTTATATTTCTGAAGTCTTTTCGTCAGTTTTCTTTTCTTAGGTGTAGTAGGTGTTACACTTTCTGTATCGCTATTACCACTTTCCATTATTATAAAGTACTTTATGTAATTTAACGACGAAAACGTTTAAGTAAAGTATCGAGTCAATCGATAACAAAACAAACGAACGAACGAAAATAAATAATAACGTTAACGACCGCAAGCAAAATGTCAGTTTGACAGTGTCAAGTTTGACATTGACGTATCAATTGGAATTAAATTATGACAGGTTCGCGTTCCGTTACCTGCACTGCCCGCACATAAAGTCTGTGGAACGAAAGGCGCGTTCAAAAATTGCAAAATATTACTTTTTATTCGATTAAACATTGCTTATATAAAGACATTCATTTGTTGCACGGAAATATAGTATTTTCGCGTACTATATCTTTCTTCAGCAGTATATAGTACGGAGACCCGAAATATAGTACAATACTATATATTATAGTACGGTTGGCAACCCTATATCCAAGTACTATGTGGTTGTTTTTAAACAATATTTTATCATTTTTGTTCAATGGTTTCATGTCTTTACAGTTTCTGTTATAATAAAATTTACATTTCTCTTTATAATTATGTAGTTTTTCTTTAATATCCTTATAATTACATACTTTAGGCTTAAGTTGTGATTTCAATACAGGTAATTTAGTTCTTAATTTTCTAGAAAAACATAATTGGGCTGGCGAACATAAACTGTTGCCTTTTGGTGTATTTCTGTATTGAAGTAAAGCTAAATATGGATCTGACCCGTCGGATAAACATTTCTTTAACATGTTTTTAATTGTACCTATTGATCTTTCAACTAAACCATTACTGTGACTTAAATATGGAGAACTAGTGACATGATTAATGTCCCAGTATATGCAAAAATAGATTTCAAATGTAAAATTACAGCACTGCTATTTGACTTATTGTTTTGTAATAGTGCTAGTTCTACAAATTTAGAAAAATAATCTGTGACTATTAAATATTTATTCTTATTAAAATCAAACATATCTACTCCCACTTTATGAAAGGGTATTAATTCATAATCATGAGGCATTAGAGTTTCTTTAGGGTTACTACATCTATTAGTTAAACACACATCACAGTTTTCTATAAACTTTTCTATATGACTATTTATGTTTAGCCAATAAACAGAATCTTTAGCTAATCTCTTACAATTATTTATTCCTTGATGACCTTCAAGTATAATTTTTAAAAAATCTGAATGTAAGCTTTCTGGTATAACAATACAATTTGACTTAAATAATATGTTATCAATGGAATGCAACTCATTTTTTAGAGAAAAATAAGGTTTGATGCTATCATCAACCTGTCTTTAGAAGTATGTTCTTTAATTTTATTTAATATATTGAGTTGATAGACAAATTTGACATTATCAAGTTAACATGAATATCAATTTCAGAGTCTAATTCAGTTAAAGTATGATGAGGTAAATCTGAACGTGACAAAGTATCGGCTATATAAAGATATTTACCGGGTTTGTATGGTATACTCAAATCATAAGGTTGTAAACGCAACATTATTCTTTGTAATCTTGGAGGAATGTTATACAATGGTTTTTTAAATAATGTCACAATAGGTTTATGATCACTTTCAACACCTATTTTTCTACCATAAATATATTGGTGAAATTTTGTGCAGCCAAATAGAACAGCTAAAAGCTCCTTTTCAGTTTGTGAGTATAACTGTTGACACTTATTTAATGAAGCAGAAGCATATGCAATGGGTTTTTTTTTTTTTTTTTTTTTTTTTTATTTTATTTTATTTTTTTTTATTTCGACTTACAAAACTGATTACAATCAAAAATATAAACAATACAACTTTCACAAAAAAGAAACTGGATTGTAACCTTCTAGATGTAAGTACAACATGCATTTTAAAAATTAAACAATTTTTTCACAGAAGTGACTACAGCCGAAACATAAAATAATTTAAACTACAAAATATTAGTAAAGTTATCATGCTTTTCTCAAGAACCAAAAACAGATCTTAAGCTCTGCCTAGCAGAAGCAATAGACCCGTTGAATATGTCGAAATTAAATCTTATTGATTCATAGCTAGAACACATGCGATATAGCGGTGAATGCTGACCGAGACGAGTTCTACGGAGTGGCAATGTAAATGTTTTTCTGTTATGTATTCGACTCCCAATCCTCGGAACTGTGATCTTTATTTTTTCCAAAATATCAGGGGAGTTAATACAACCGTTCAATAATTTAAATATAAACATAATATCCAATATTTTTCTGCGGTCGTGGAGCTTAATCATTTTATAATAGGATAGACGGGATTCGTAAGTTGCAATTTGACGACATTTATAGTCAGAGAATGCCAGATGATACAAGAAACGCTTCTGCACTAGTTCCAATCTATTGGAATAAACTTGGTAACCTGGATTCCATACTGGACAGCAATACTCTAGAATACTTCTCACTATAGAATTAAAAATAATAATTGTGATATAAGGGTCGCGCAAAATCTTCATTTGTCGAGTGATAAAACCAGATAGCATTGAAGTTTTTTTAATTACAGCATCGATATGAAATTTGAAACTAAGAGAGCTATCCATAATCACTCCCAGGTCGCGAATACAAGATACTTCCGTCAAGGGTATATTCTGTATGCAATAAACAGCGTTAAGTGAGCGCAACTTTCTGGTGAATTTTATATGAAAACATTTTTCCAAATTTAATTCCATTCCATTAGCGCAGCACCATGAATAGATATTATTTAAATCAGCTTGTAGTATATCTATATCACGCTGGCTTCCTATAGTGCGATACAATTTTAAATCATCTGCATACATTTTAAATTTGGAGTCAATATAATTTGAGATATCGTTAATAAAAACAATAAAAAATAGTGGTCCCAAATGAGATCCTTGTGGGACTCCAGAAGGGACAAACCTACTTATTGATTTGTGTCCATATAAGGAAACCAGTTGGGAACGATTTCTCAGGTAAGATTCACACCACCTCAAAAGCGATCCATGTATACCAACCCCTTCCAACTTCGCCATCAATAAGTCATGATTTACAAGATCAAACGCTTTTCGGAAATCTGTGTATATGGCATGAACTTCATCTTGCCTGTCCAAAGCTTCGTAAATATCATTGACGTAGGCAACTAAGTTGGAGGTGGTAGATTTTTGAGGCAGAAAGCCGTGTTGGTCAGCATTCAAAAGACTTTTAACCTGATTATATACGTACTTCTGAACAAATGCTTCAAGAACCTTACCCGCAGTCGACAGTATTGAAATAGGTCTATAATTACAAACGTCGCTTATATCACCATGTTTATGAATTGGCTTTACATGAGCAGTTTTCCAATAAGACGGAAATACTCCTGACTCAAGAGACGCATTGTAAATAATAAATAAAGGCTTGCATAAATATTTAGCACAACTTTTAAAGAATAATGGTGGTAGTAAGTCAGGACCGGGCCCTTTGTTACAGTCTAGTTTCGATAGGGAATTGAAAATCTCCTTCTCGGTAATAAAAAAGTTACTAATTGACAGATTTGTGTAATTGATATTGATATTTCTATTCGCTACATTCAATATGTTATGAGCATCGAAAACGTTTTGAAAGCACTTAGAAAATAGTTCACAAATTTGAAGACCACCAGTAGCCACAATATCACCTAAGTGCATCACATTTGGGATTGAAGAGTGGTTTGACCTCTTATTATTAATAAATTTCCAAAAATATTTAGGACTATGTCTGAGATTGTCCTTCGCTCGATCTTTAAACTTAGCATAACATTCTTTTATTATTGTTTTGCAACGTTTTCGTAAAATATTATAAGTGTACTTATCTAAAGGGTTGTTATATTTTTTATATTTGGAATGGTACAAAGCCTTCTCTTTTAAAACTTTTATGAGCGATCGACTAAACCAAATAGGGTACTTATCATTACGAAGCATTTGACAAGGTGTATATTTCTTTACTATTGGCATGATGGAATCATAAAATATCGTTACCATATCGTCAATATTCTGGCAATCTCTCATAATAAAACCCCAATCCAATAAAGCAAGTTCACTGTTTATACTACCATAACTACATGCTTTAAAGTTAAGCATATTCATTCGTTTAGGCTTAAGCCATCTATGACTAGGAAACGAGATATTGATTATCAAAGGCGGATGATGTAAGTCTATTTTCTCTAGTAAAAGTTCTTCTTCAGCCATAGATACCGCAACACAATCTGCCCTATTAGTGAAAATTAAGTCAAGAATGCGTGAATTCTTATTTGTTATTTGGTTGCATTGATAAAGTCCATTAAAGGAAGTTACATCTATTAAAAGGTTTTCTAAATTTCCAGTGACGGGTAAAGGAGTCAAACCATCATCAAGCGAATTTCCATCTTTAATCCAGACTATGTTTCCCAAATTGAAATCACCAACTATTAGCGTAACGGATTTAAGAGGAATTTTGTGTTGTATGTTATGCGTGATATTGTCAAGTAATAACCCTAAATAATCATCAGTAGGAGGAGAAGGGACGTAGATTCCACAAATGTTTAAGTCTTGTTCATTGCCATTTTTTATAGATATCCACAGTTCCTCACAAGATGACTCCCATTTAAATCGTCTGAGGGCTTTGTGTTCTTTAAGAATAGCCATAACTATACCTCCTCCATCTTTTTTAGTTCGGTAAGAGTGTGTGGTACTTCTGTCCCTACGAAATATATCATACCGATCGTCAAAAAGTTCCCCGTCAAAAACTGTGTCATTTAGCCACGACTCGGTCATCACTACCACGTCATAGTTACTAGCAAGAGCAGACAGATACAAATTTTCCGTTTTGGTTCTCAATCCTCTAACATTTTGATAGAAAACTTTTAAATTGAATTTTAAATTTTAATATAATATAAATGACATGCCTAAACAAGTGATAACAGTAATTACATTATTTATGAATAAATATTACAGTGTTTTCAAAAAATCAATATTTTTCACCAAAAGTGCTGGACTATTGCGATTCTTACGAACGAAAACGCGCCCATTTCTAATCCACACGAAATCATATTTTTTTTCTTTAGCTATAGTCCTGGTCGCAGCGTGTAGTTGTTTATTTACCGGTGATAGGTGTTCAGTTACAAAAATCGGTACTTTTTCTGAGGCTATTCCAAGATGTGTGGCATTGAGCTTGTTACGCTGATTACGCCTGTTGAAGTCCTTAACAGCAGCCAGAACACCATCACGAACCCGAGGGTTCGAGAGCTTGACAATTATATTTCTTGGGCGCTTAGAGT